GCAGTGAAAGCATATTTACAGACACTATAACATGCATTTAAATATAATTAGGAAAAAATTATTTAATAATTTCAAAATTTAATTTAATAATTGAATGATATATTTATTCATTTATAAACTGAATAATGTTAATTAAAGAAAACCATTAAGCATNACTTTTACCAAAGAATAATTTGTTATATCATCAACATAACCTACAGTTTTATAGTTTTTCTATGATATATTATTGTCTAGAATTGTTTTATCAATAAAGTGTATGTTCATATGACATGCTTAAATCATTTGTATTCACAATAAAATTTAAAATTCCACTACAAAATAAATAACTAATGAATCCTTTAATTAATTCTTATTTTTATACTTATAAAGCAACTATTATTATACAATTGTAATATTTATAAATTTAGACAATATTAACTGAACAAATGTGATGAAAGCAAAAGTGTTCCTTTGCTGTGGTTTATGTACGTACTTGTTAACCTAAAATTATAAAATTTTATAATTATTATTTATAAATGAATTACTGTACTTAAAAATTATATAAGTAAATTTACTAAATTTTACAGCTGTGTTTATATGTTTAATTTAAATCAATGAATTTAGGTCAACAAACAAATGCATAAACTCTAGTGACAACACCACTTGTGGGCTTCACAATTGTTTGTAATTATTATTCTAGTTTTATAATTTAAATAATACATAGACAGAACTACAGTTTCTTAATATTATAATATTTAAGCTTTTATATTAAGCTATTTTTATTCAAAGAGGAATAGATAAGAGCATTGGCAGATTTCCCTTACACCCACTAGGTGTGGGCCTGGTCCTAAGGGTGCAAGAGTTTGAGGGTGCAAAATTCAAAATAATAGTAATAATAATAAAATGATGAAAAATAATTTTACATAGAAACAATTCATAAAGGAATTAATGCAATTTAAAAGATTAAATAAGGACAAAATAAAGACGTATCTGTTGAGTAGTATTAATATAGGAATATATTTTTCAGGAAGGTGGTAGTATTATTGATGGGTTTTCCCTTGGCTGAGAATCTTGATCTAGATGCTTCCACATCTTGCAGCAAAGACAACTTTCCAGGCAGCTAGCATATTTTGCTGACAGTTAGGGATGATGGAAGGGCTTGATCTGACTATGAGGTCTTTCCATCTAGACCAAGTGTTAAACTAAGCTTTTAATTATGCACTTGGGATGGAATTGGTCATTGGCCTCCCAATCCAAGTGTTTTTCCCTGTGACATCAGAAGCAAGAGGTTGAGGATGAATGACTTTTCCTAAGTTTGAAATTGAAACTCCATCTCTTCCTTACCTACTGAATGGCTTTTATCTAAATAACTCATGACCATATATTCCATCTGAGTGTTGAGCTTGTCATTACTCCCAGGGATAGTAAGTTAGGTAGTTATTACATTTGAACTTCAGAGTGCATGACTCTCCTTCATCTTTTACACATGTACTGTACAGAACCATCATTCTTGAGCATTATTTTTAGCAAAAAAGTTTAAAGAAAGAAAAAAAATATCTAAATAAAGACTTTATTACCATACTTAAAAAATATCAATAAAACCAGCATCTAACATTTTTATAGTCAGATGTCAGTCATTTTTATTTTATAATACTTTTAATGAAAATGAAAGCTTCTTTACAAATATCTTTGCAGAACTCTCATAGGTTGTCATTGCAGAACTGTTTTGTGTTATTGAATTCTAGGGTTCCACAACACACAACACACAACACAGTTCAACTACCACTGTTCTATAAAAACATTTGGTGTTATAGAGCAGACATGGGCAAATGCGGCTCTTTTTGAGTTACATGTGGCTCTTGCTGAAAGTGTTCATTTCTGCTTTTTATTATTATTTTTACAATTTTGTGAAAATATGTTTATTAAAAGAATTCAATATTTGTTTTATATTATATTTATATTATATAATAAAATCGTGGTACAGAACTGCGGTACAGAATAAAAAAAGTACAGAACTGCGGCTCCCATGCATTTTGCAAAACCTACATTTCAGCTCCCACTGAACTCTTGCTTGCCCACCTCTGGTATATAGTATGTTGTTACAGTCAACTGTAAACTAAAAAGCAGTGGTGTGTGGACTGAACTGAGTAATACCAAAATAAATCTCCATAAAATTTTTAGTAGTGTTTCTGCAAACATTTATTATTATTATTTTGAAATATGCTTGTAGTTAATTAACAACAAAAGCATTTTTATAAACCCAGCTTACATGTATCAATCAATATACACTACCTACTATGCTAAAACTTTGCTGATTTACTTTTAGAACCTTCTAATGCATTCCATTCAGAGCTAACCTTATCATCAAATAACAATAAAATAAATAGTTTATAGTTTAGAAATATAATACAATTACAAAAATGTAAATAAATAAATAAATTTAATATACATAGACTAACTTGTGAGTGTATGAGATATGATTTTAATATTGATAATTTTTTTTATGTTATTGCCATTACATATTTTGATTATTTATGAAAACAAATTTTCTCATGAATAAAATTATTAAAGGTTTTTTTAGATAATTTGTAAAATGTTTATCTGGCTTTGAAACATGATTTATTATATTATTATTACTACCTTTCTTGCTCTTTAACTCAAATAATAATATATTATTTGTGCTATCACACACAATCGTTCTTTAGGGATTATCACACTGACAGCTTTCTACAAGTTTTTTATTCAATAATTTACTCTAACATTATTAATTGCATTTTGGGCTTGTATTAATAGTGATAGGATATATTATTAAATAAAAAACTCCTCATAGAATATTGTGTTAATGTGATAAGCCCTAAAGAATGATTGTGCGTGATAGCACAAATATTTTAAGATTTCTTATTTTTTTAATTTTAATTTTTAATTATTTCAATTGATATGATTATTTTACTTGTATAGTCAGGAATAAAGTTCATAATTTTATGCCATAAAAAATAAAAAGACAAAAAATTCACAATTTGGATTATGTATAATGCAGTGAAAGCATATTTACAGACACTATAACATGCATTTAAATATAATTAGGAAAAAATTATTTAATAATTTCAAAATTTAATTTAATAATTGAATGATATATTTATTCATTTATAAACTGAATAATGTTAATTAAAGAAAACCATTAAGCATCGTTCTAATACTATAATTTATGCTTTCTATTATTCAAGTTCAGTAACACACTATAATATTATATACTTTGTCTATTATCTCTTTTCTATCATTATTTCCTATATGCAAAAATTTTTTAATTATATAACATTGAGGAGGTTACTGAGTCATACCTCTTGAGAAGATTGGTTGAGTCGATCACCAATTACATCCACAAGTAGTGTCGTCATCGTCGTGTGGAGGAATGATACTGGACAGTAAAGGAGTCCATCAGTTGATGTCACAAGTTTCTTTCACAGAAATATATACAAGGATTACAATTACATCGACCGTGGAACAAATGTTCGGAGCGTGTGGTGAGGTGAAAGTCCAAACAAGAGTATGTCAAACCTCTGCAACATATATATATTTTTTTCTTTTAATAATTGTTTTATTTAAACATTTAACATGTACATTAAAAGAGCTTAAAAACAGAAAAAATTTATTATTATTAATACATTACTGCTATTCAATGTTAGTCAAGGATATTTAAAAACCTATTGGCTTATTAACTAATCATTTTGCAACCTTTAAAAGTTAATTATATCAGCTTTTTTGTTTTAATTTTTTCTATTATCCCTTCTAAAAATAAATTGTGTTTCTTGTATTCCTCACAGTGATGATAATATATTTATAAATGCAGAATAATAAGGTTTAAACCAAACTGAATGCCTTAACAAAGTTTTTATAAATGAGTTATCTGATAAAGCTTATGTATCATACATACATAAGCTTTCACAGTTTAATTTCACAGAAAAGTTTACTTTATGTATTACTGCTTATGTACTAACAGAATTGTAGTTCTGAGACTATAATGAACAAGAATACAATCTAAATTGACATGAATAAACAAATAGTTTTTTGGAAATTACACTATATGAGTGGTGACTCTTGGATTTGAAAAAAAAAAATTAATTTAATTACATATAAAAAACATTTTAAAATTAACGGGGTGCTAATTTTCACATGACATAGGGACCAGAAATTTTGTCTGTTAAATCCAAAGTCCATTAAATCAAGATATTACTGTATTACTTTCTAATATCAATAAATATCTGCACTAGGCATGTAACTACACTGAATTAAAAAGCTAAATAAAACAAAAATTATAACCAATAACCTATTTAAATATTTTAAATTTCCATTCTATAAGTTTATAAAATTATAAAATTAATGTGAAATTTGGATTCTATACTTAGATTTTAGATAAATATTAATGAAAAATAATATACGTGAAAATATTTTTATTACAATAAGATAAAACTAATTATGAATTTTTAAAGAAATTTCATATTATATTCAGTTTAGTTCCTAATAAAATTAAATAAATTTTTAAAATATTAAATAGCTTACTGTACAAAAAGATCATCAGCTTCAGTTTATTGCTCCATTTTAAATTACGGTGTAGCCTCCCTTACATAATCGTCTTCCATTTGTGCCCATGTTTGCCTATCATTTGCTTCTCTCCACCATGTTGTGCCTGCTTGTTTCCTTATGTCATAGTACCATCTTAAGTTTGGACGTTCTTTCGGTCTCTTGATTCCCTGTGGATACCACATCGTAATTATCGTGGACTATATTGTCAGTCCTTGCCAGATGCCCTGCCCATTGGTATTTAAAAGATTTAATTCTGTGTAGATNTTTTAAATAAAATTGATCCAAATTTAAAAAAAAAAGACCCAATTATTTAGGAAATTTTAAACAGCAGTCAAACAAAAACTGCACATGGGCATCAACGTGAAAAGTTGACAGCAGTAAACAAACGGGAACGGCTTTTCCAAACAAAAAGACACATGTTGGAACCATATAAAAGGATGCGCAAATTCACCGTCGACCAGAATTCATCCAGCAGCAAACTAATTCAAAATGAAGACCTCTTTTGTAATCATTTTTGCAGCTGTTGCCTGTGGTAAGTTTATTGTTAAATATAGTTAATCAGATACTTTTACAATTAACAAAGATAATTAATTATTTAAAAATTATCCTGTTGTGTTTATAAATAAGTTATAATATACTGAAACATTTATTTTAGTGATGAGTGCTGAGATTAAAGCTCCTCACACTGAGCAAGCTAAGGAAGAGAATTTATCATCTAAAATTGATGGAGTCAAACATTTTAAACAAAGAAAACCTGTAAGTATCTGTAATCAGTTGCCTTACTTATATTAATTAGCATATGTAAACATATATATATATTATAGTCGACCCCCATATAACACTGTTGATAATTCCATTTTATATGAATTCCATGTTGTACGTGTCACTTAGATTTTACAAATGCGTGTGCCGGGCTGTGAACGGCTCACGTACTTGTAAAATCTAAGTGACTCGTACAACATGGAATTCATATAAAACGGAAAAATCAACAGTGTTATAGGGGGAGTCGACTGTAGTAGTTCATTTGTTCATATTTTCTCTTCTTATCAAGAACCAAAGATTAAGAAGTAGCAGATGATATAATGACAATCTTATTTTATCTTTAAAAATTAATCATTTTGCATATTTTAATAAATTACATTCATTTACAGTTTAAAAATTTAACTTATTTTAAAATTACTTTAGGCAAGTTCCATGAAGGAAGAAAAAGTAATGGTGGACAATCAGGAAAAAAGTAAAAAAGAGCAAGATGAATCCAACTCAGAAAGAACATTCTTTCCAAGTTATCCATATGATTATTATAATTATAATTATATAACAGAAACAGGCTACATACAATTTCCTTTTACAATAACAAGAAATATCAATTGCTATGATATATGGGGCTTTGATTTCTGCCAATGTTATTATCAATGTTACTATAATTATAATTGTTATTATGATATTTGTTATGATAGCTGCTATGACGCTTGTGATTATTACTTGTGTGACTATGGTGATTTTTACTGTTATAGTTTCTAGTAGGGATAAAGTTAAAATGAATTTTTTTAACTCTTTCAAACCAGTTATAAAATAAAATTGAAATTAAATATGGGAAACTGTTGTCATTTTCTATAATTATTATAATTTAACATTTTCATTTCATAATTAATAAAAAATAAGATTATCATCAAAATAATAAGTCACAATGTCCTTAACATTATAGTATCAAGTAAAACAAAAAAATAATTTTTTTTTTAAAATATAATATGTTTTATTAGTTTCTTAACATAAAACTATTTAAAGTTTTAACTTAATTTAAAATATTTTTTCATATACTGCATGTAACTAAATATTACTTCACTTTACATTACATAACATTAAATATCACTTAAATTAAGACTCTTCCTCATTACATATTAATAAACTGTAAAATTGTGAATGCATCTAGGTAACAAGTAGTTATGTAAATAAATCCAATGCTATAGTCCATGTTCATGGGCATAGCCAGAGTTTTGTTATAGGGGGGCTAGTAGAGGCCAACCTGACACAAAATTGAATTATTTCGATTTATTGTCCGTTAAAATGAAAATTCGACAATAAGTTAACACACATGAAATATGAAACTTCCTTTAATCATAACATTGGGCACAGGGGGAAATATTGACCATGTCCATGTTATATGAAATGAACTATGTTATGTAGCTCATGCATGATTTCAAGTCAGCAATATTTGCGACTGACTTGTTAGATATAATATATAGTATACACTTGTGAACACTATGTTGGCTTGTTTATTCCTAGTCTTATTACACACAAGATCAGCCTTAGAAAATCACTTTATTTTCCAAAAATGAACATTTTGGGCCAACATAGTGCTCAGAAGTATATATCAACGCTAGACAAGAAGCATATTATAATAATAACATAGAGTTTAATTTTAACTACTTTAATTATTAAATTTTGAAGTTTTGTAATTAAAGGATAAAAAGAGATCTAACCAAAATTATTATAAAATAAAATATATATCATAATAATAAGTAGTATTATGATTTTTATACCTAACTTTATTTCATTGTACCACTTATTTTTTAACTCAAATTTTAAATAATGATTTATATGAATAAGAATAAGATGCACAGATACAAAAAAAAGTAAATTATCAGTAATTTCTTTGACAATTATATAATTAAAAATATCAAAAATTAATTAGTCATACCACTAAGTTTTAAAAATGTAAACTCGAGTTTAGTAAACTGAAAAAATTCACAACTTATCAGTCAAATTTGCTTAAGAGAGCATCCTTTGGCTTGCTGCTTAGTGCTCCCTTATCTGAACAGTAACAAGCTCATCTGAAAGTTTGTTAATGATATTCAATTCTCTTCATTTTTTCATGTTTTAGGAGCTATATATAACTTATAACATACTCGAAGATGTAAAAAATTCATTATCGCATAAGTTTACTGTACTTATATATTGGTATTCATCCTTTATCATCAAAGTAGACTAACTCAAAAATTTTAAATATTTGAATAATTAATAACATCCTTTTATTAACATGTGCAAAATTGTATTCTGAATGGTTTCATAAATCATATCTGCCATAAAGTTCAAACAACTAAATTTTATTTTCATATCAATGGATTGGGCTTAAGACTCTGTAGTCCCTTAAATCAGCCCCCGTGTAATGTCAATTTTATTTTATAAAATAATCAGTAAACACAGTTATTTACTAGTAGATTAGGTGGCATAGTTGAAAAGATGTAAACATCCTTGCTTGAAAATTTTTGAATGGTCTATAATAATAATAGAACATACAGTATAAAAGTAAGTACTGCTTAAAAATAAAATCGTATGACCTCTGAAATCTGATTGCTAAACACTTCTTGCCTTATCTAATGTAGATGAGGTCTTTATTAGATAAGGCAATGCAATCTGCACTGTTGGTTTGTATGTTTTATGATACCTTTTAAATATACAATTGCATCTCATACATGTATCCAATAATACCTGTTTGCTATGTAAGAAACCCTTTGACTGTCAATGTATTAGAAAATTAAGTAATTGGAAAGTTTGACCAAATTTCTAAAACATTTATGGTAGGCTAGACAGATATATGCCATGATGTGCCCTGGGTGGTGATTATTGTAGGCTTAAAGATAAATACTTATAAATGTTGCTTAAAACAGTGCTTGCTTATGTGGACTGCTGTTGTAAAATAGGTGGCAACATGGTACTCATTTAAATAAAGTGCTCTACTGTCCTGTGCTCTGTTAATAGGAGTTTAAGTAATAAACATAGGGAGTGTGACTTTATTAAGCCTTGTCATTTATTTTTCATTTTCCTTATACCATCTTCCTGCGGTAAAACTGTACATCCGGCTTCTGTTTCCCTAACCACACTGTAGTTGGTTGACCCATGTGGTCTGATCTCTTATAAAACAAAAGGGGTAACACCTGATTGGTCGAGGGGTTACTGGCAGAAGACGGAGGGAAGAGAACAAAGAAGATTTTTTTCGGGAGAGAGCTAGGAGGAGACGTATGTGTCGATGAGTACGGAAGGAAGACCCATATGATGGAACAATCTAAGGTTTTTTTTTTTTTATTTTCATCACCAGTCACCTCTTTGAACCTTCTCCTTCTGTAAGTACTTTTATAATACATTCATTCATTTCTTTATTAACGCACACAATGGTACATGCCGGGTTCCGCAGTGAGCACTACCCGGTGATAACAAATTACAATAATAAAGATACAGATAGATATAGGTGTTACAAAATCAAAAATTAATTAGTCATACCACTAAGTTTTAAAAATGTAAACTCGAGTTTAGTAAACTGAAAAAATTCACAACTTATCAGTCAAATTTGCTTAAGAGAGCATCCTTTGGCTTGCTGCTTAGTGCTCCCTTATCTGAACAGTAACAAGCTCATCTGAAAGTTTGTTAATGATATTCAATTCTCTTCATTTTTTCATGTTTTAGGAGCTATATATAACTTATAACATACTCGAAGATGTAAAAAATTCATTATCGCATAAGTTTACTGTACTTATATATTGGTATTCATCCTTTATCATCAAAGTAGACTAACTCAAAAATTTTAAATATTTGAATAATTAATAACATCCTTTTATTAACATGTGCAAAATTGTATTCTGAATGGTTTCATAAATCATATCTGCCATAAAGTTCAAACAACTAAATTTTATTTTCATATCAATGGATTGGGCTTAAGACTCTGTAGTCCCTTAAATCAGCCCCCGTGTAATGTCAATTTTATTTTATAAAATAATCAGTAAACACAGTTATTTACTAGTAGATTAGGTGGCATAGTTGAAAAGATGTAAACATCCTTGCTTGAAAATTTTTGAATGGTCTATAATAATAATAGAACATACAGTATAAAAGTAAGTACTGCTTAAAAATAAAATCGTATGACCTCTGAAATCTGATTGCTAAACACTTCTTGCCTTATCTAATGTAGATGAGGTCTTTATTAGATAAGGCAATGCAATCTGCACTGTTGGTTTGTATGTTTTATGATACCTTTTAAATATACAATTGCATCTCATACATGTATCCAATAATACCTGTTTGCTATGTAAGAAACCCTTTGACTGTCAATGTATTAGAAAATTAAGTAATTGGAAAGTTTGACCAAATTTCTAAAACATTTATGGTAGGCTAGACAGATATATGCCATGATGTGCCCTGGGTGGTGATTATTGTAGGCTTAAAGATAAATACTTATAAATGTTGCTTAAAACAGTGCTTGCTTATGTGGACTGCTGTTGTAAAATAGGTGGCAACATGGTACTCATTTAAATAAAGTGCTCTACTGTCCTGTGCTCTGTTAATAGGAGTTTAAGTAATAAACATAGGGAGTGTGACTTTATTAAGCCTTGTCATTTATTTTTCATTTTCCTTATACCATCTTCCTGCGGTAAAACTGTACATCCGGCTTCTGTTTCCCTAACCACACTGTAGTTGGTTGACCCATGTGGTCTGATCTCTTATAAAACAAAAGGGGTAACACCTGATTGGTCGAGGGGTTACTGGCAGAAGACAGAGGGAAGAGAACAAAGAAGATTTTTTTCGGGAGAGAGCTAGGAGGAGACGTATGTGTCGATGAGTACAGAAGGAAGACCCATATGATGGAACAATCTAAGGTTTTTTTTTTTATTTTCATTGCCAGTCACCTCTTTGAACCTTCTCCTTCTGTAAGTACTTTTATAATACAGTCAATCCCCCTATAACACTGTTGATTACTCTGTTTTATATGAATTCCATGTGTTATGAGTAACTTAGATTTTACAAATATGTGTGCCGGGCTGTGAACAGCTCACGTATTTGTAAAATCTAAATGACTCATAATTCTTAACATCTTCCCTTTTACTTTTGGGCCCAGTTATTTGTAAAAATTAGTTAAGTTAGACCTAAGATAGAATAGAGTCTTTGTTTGTTGGTACTTGGGAACCCATCTGTTGTATTTGTTACAATCGTCCCAATCAATCTTGTAAATTCATTGTTAGAATGATTGCTTCTTCGGAAGTTTAATTATTTTTGTGAAAGTTAAACTTATTTATCAACGCAAAATGTTTCCCTGGATTCTGTTATTTATTACTCGGCTACACGAGAAATTGGAAACATAGGAGAGTGCTCTCTTAAGTGAACTGCTACCTTATCCAATGTTCTGTTAAGTGAATTCAATTGTATACTACATATCAAATAATAGTTTTGTTTATAATAATTTAACTAATACATCTTAATCTTACAAACAGTGAGAAGGTAATATGAGCAATTTCCAAGGATGTCAAATCAATTTTCACTCTCTATTTAAATGAAACAATAGATTTTCTAAAAGTTAATTTGTAAATTCCAGGAGATTGATTAAAATATATTTAATTATTTTAAATAATTTTCTTCTCCCAAGTTTGTAATTTTAGTTCAATATTTGTTTAGTTTAATATAATATTACTATCCAAGCTGAATATTCTTATCTAGTTTAATATTTTTAATACAGAAGTATTCTAACATCAAAAGATTACATTCCTTTATTTAAATTAAATTTTTGCAATCCAGTAATACGTAGTACGATCCAAAAGTTCGGAGACTTGGC